TGAACTCAGGTCATCAGGCTTGCACACCAAGTGCCATTACCTACTGTGCCATCTCATCGGTCCCTTACCATACAAGCTTGTAATCCTAGATCCATGTGCCATATATGCACAAATACACAAAGAAGAATGACTAAGAAATATCATATATAAAAGGTAAATATGGTTTCATATATTCCAGAAGAACAATGCCCAATTCTCATTAGCATACAGTGAGAACAGAAACTGATGTCAATCACTAACCCACAGGGGAGGATTAGAAATAGTAGAAAAGACAAAAATAAAATTATGGGCAGGTGAAATGGCTCAGTGGGTAAAGGTGCTTGCTTCCAAGTCTGAGGATTTGTGTTTGATCCCTGGAACTCAAATGGCAGGAGAGAACTGATCCCACAAATTGTCCTCTGATCTCCATATGGGCGCTATGGCGCGCGCACGCACACACACACACACACACACACACACACACACGATATTAAAAAAAAATCCTATGCCCTGGGGTGCAGTGGAAGGGGTTTTGTGGACCAGATGGCATCCAGGGTTAACAAGGAATGTGGCTGAATGCCAATACATGTAAGAGGGCTTCCAGACTGGAGAGACCAAAATGAGCCAAGACACTATGCAACAGATGCACTGACTTCAGGAGATAGAGGAGCGTTTGTTTTATGTGGAGGGATGCAATCTAGCAAAACGACATATAAGACGGCAAAGAACACCTCATTCAATACAAGGGGCCAAATATCTCCCCCATGTAGAGGCTCCACCTGCTGTGTGTGGAAATTCAGAAGCTGACGACCACTTTGCAGGATTCGTGAACCCAGGGGGCCTTTGGAATCAAATCCATGAGCTTGAACCTTCTTTAGCCTTTCTTAGTTCAAACAGTCTCTGTTCCAAAAAAATAAAATAGCACAAGCAACAAAACTCAATTAGAGTGAACTTTAATCTCTCACACCTCACCTGAGCCCAAACAGTGATGCTACTGAGACAGCAGGCCTGTTCCTTACGCAGACTCATCACTACAACCTAACAGTTTCCAGCATATGGTGCCCCTAATGCATCTCCCATCAAAAAATACACATCACACAAAAATAAACTTCCACAAATAAATAAGAACCAGGATCTTCCTATAAGATTTCGACCCTAACAACATATTTGACCCTTCTGTGACCCACTTATAAAATATGCACACTCTGTTCCACAAAGCATTACTTTGTTTTATTCTTCTTCTTCTGGGCGGGCATGGAAGTATACACCTGTAATCCCCGCACTTGGAGGCAGAGGCATATCTCAATATATATATAAAGATTCTTCTTCTTAAGGTAATGCAAATTTATGTATTTGTCTATACTACCATAGTCAGGTAGTTAGCAATGCCTATAACCAAACTCCATATCCCCTGCTTCTCAGACTATTAGAATTTTTCCTTCATTCAGATCCTAACAAAGTAACCTAACAATGGGAAAAACAAAAAGATAGTCATACAAAAATAAAATACTTTCAAAAAAGAAAAAGAATCTGTATCATCACTCCAACCGTCTAAACTTTGAAAACAGACCCCACATATCTGATTCACCAAAGCTATAGACAGTTTATGTGGTACTTGACAAATTAGCACTAAGGAAGTTGGAGGACTGTGAGTTCAAATCCAGCCAGGACTACATCGTGAGGCCATGTCTCTAAAACAGAACAACATGGCACTGGGGAGATAGCCCAGTTGGTAAAGTACTTCCTGTGTAAGCCTGAAGATCTAAGTTCAATCCCCACTACCCACATAAAAAGCAGGCATCATGGCACACATTGGGGGAGGGGGCAGAGACAGAAAGATCCCTGGGGCTCACTGGCCAGCTAGCTTAGCTTAATCAACAGATTCCAGTGAAAGATCCTATCTAAAACACATGGAAGCCCCAGGCTCCTCTGAGAGATCCTATCTCAGAAACACAGGATGGGGCTGGGGAGTGAAGTACTTCCTCTTCAAGCCCTAGGACCAGGGTTCAGATCCCTAGAATCCACGTAAAAGCCAGGTGGCTGGCCTGTAACCCAGCATGGTAGGAGGCAGACAAGGAATCCTCAGAGCAAGCTGGCTACCTAGGTTGACCCAAAGGGTGAACTTTTCAACAAGAGACCCTGCCTCAAAATATAAGGTTGAGAGCAATCAAGGAAGACACCAGACATGAACCTCAGTCCTCCATATACATGTATGTGCTGGATAGCTTTAGTGTCAACTTGACATACCTGGGTTGAGGGAGCCTCAACTGGGGAATTGCCTTCATTGGGCTGGCCTGTGGCCATGTCTGTGAGACAACTTCTTGATTGTTGTGTGATGTGGGAGGGCACAGCGCATTGTGGGTGGTGCCACCCCTGGGCAGATGGGCCTGTGTTGCATAAGAAAGCAGGCTGAGCAGGGGCCAGGGGAGCAAGCCAGTAAGCAGCATTCCTCCACAGCCTGTGCTCCAGCTCCTGCCTCCAGGTTCCTGCCCTGAGTTCCTACCCTGGGCTCCTTGATGAACTGTGACCTGGTAGATGTAAGATAAATAAACCCTTTCCTCCCCAGGTTGGTAGTGGTCAAGGTGTTTTGTCACAGCAATGAAGAAACAAACTAAGACAATGTACACACCCCCACACACACGTGAACATGAAGACACACCACACATACATATATATGTCAAAAATAAAACAAGTGGACATTGCCTGAGGACTGACTCCTGAGGTTGACCTCTTGCATACAACTGCACACAACCACACACACACACACACACACAGAGACAGAGACAGAGACAGAGACAGAGACAGAGAAAGGAAGGAGCTCATAAAATAGATGGGAACATAAAACTTTTATCAACTCATTATCCAGGAACGTTTTTCTGAAATGTCATGTCTACAAGGAAGGATGTTTGGCAGAACTGTATGGGGTTACCTCATAGGCCAGACACTGTTAGGTCTGCTTCAGAATTTCAGGGATATTGGCAGATCACTGCTCAAGGTAGGCCATGGAATCCTGATGGATTTCAGCGGGACTTTTGTGCTGTACCTTGAGGTCCTCAGCACCTGTTGCCAATGCCTCAGCTTTGCTAAGTGCTGCTGGACCAGTCTGGCTTTCCACTGCAACCCAGTCCTTATTTCTGGGACAGCCTCTTCTTTTAAAAAATTTATTTTTTGATTTTATTTTATGTGTATGTGTGTATTGCCTGCATGTAGGTAAGTGCACCCGTGTCGTGCAATGCCCGTGGAGAAGAGGCCGTTGGATCCCCTGGGACTGGAGTTACGGACAGTTGTTAGCTGCCATGTGGGTGCTGGGATTTGAACCCAGGTCTTCTGCAAGAACAACCAGTGTTCTTAGCTGCTGAGCCGTCTCTCCAGCCCCATGGGACATCCTCTTTTATAACTTGCTCTGGTTTCTGGACACATAATTGCCATTTTTTCTGTAGGACAAAAATAGTCTCTGTATTGAAATGCCCACAAACTTTAATGCCCACTTATTAACAGTTCAAATTTCTTCCCCATCAGTGGTACTGACATAGTCTGATACACAAGAGAAGCAAAGACAAGCCTCCAACGATGAATCCAACTTGTCCACCAGGGTGTGTTAGAAGTTCTCAGTGCTCTAGGCACTGCTTGAAGTGAGGCCTGGTCCTGGCCTGGGAGACCAAATGGGGTTGACAGGGGCCTGGGCCATGTCTGGAATCCTTATTGACTATCTGTAGTCTGAGAATTATCTATTCATGTCTGTACTTGTTACTTTTCTCCTGGGTGTGATAAAATATCTGGCTAATACAACTTAAGGGAGAAAATATTTCTCCTGGCTCACAGTTTCAGGGACTATCAGTCCAGGAAGGCATGTGGTAGGACTGGCTCCTGTTGGGTGTGTATGTGTGTGTGTGTGTGTGTGTGTGTGTGTGTAGTAGCTGGGGTCACATTGCCTTAGCAGTCAGGAAGAATGAGCTCCAGCCAGAACTCCAGCAGGCCGTCACTATGACATCCTTCCCTTCCAGCTACACATTTGTCTCATAGATAAAAGGTTCTACAATACCTCCTACGCCCCCACCCCCCAAAAAGTTCCACTAGTTGGAAACCAAGTGTTCAGCACAAGAGCCTCAAGGGACAGCTCACATTTAAACTATAACAATATCCTCTGCCTTTTTTTTGTATGGTAGTATATGTTTGATGGGTAAATTTTTGTTGGGCATTAATGCTTAGCTTGACTGGGAAAAAAAAGGCCTGGAAACCTTCAGCCATCACCCCAATTTAAGACTTTCACTTTCATTTTATATCAGTATCATTGTGGTTATTATTATCTCTCTCTTTCCCTCCTTCCCTCCCTCCTTCTCCCTCAGCTCTTTTCTTTTTGCCTGTCTGGGAATTGAACCCAGAGCCTAGCAAGTGTTCTATCAATGAACCCCACCTTCACCTCATGGCAGGAACATGGATCTTTTAAAAAAATTTATTATTATTATTATTTATTTTTGGTCTTTTTGAAATAGGGTCTCCCTGTAGCCATAGCTGGCTTGTAACTAACCATGTAGCCCAGGGTGGCCTTAAACTCAGAGATATTCCTGCCTCTGCCTCCAAATGCTGGCATTTATTTACTTTTTTTTTTTTTGTCTTTTTTTGAGACAGGGTCTCCCTGTAGCCCCAGCTGTCCTGTAACTCACTATGTAGACCAGGCTGGCCTTGAACTCACAGAGATCTGTCTGCCTCTGCCTCCTGAGTGCTGGGATTAAAGGCGTGCACCACCACTCCCAGCTTTATTTGCTATTTTTATTTTATGTGTATGAGTGTACTGCCTGCATGTATGTAAGTGCACCCACATTGTACAATGCCCTCAGAGATCAGAAGAAGGAGTCAGATCACCTGGAACTGGAGTTACAGAGGGCTGTTAGCCACCATATGGGTGCTAGGAACTGAACCTGGGTCCTCTACAAGAGCAGCCTGTGCTCTTAAACACTGAGCCATCTCTCCAGTCCTAAACATGCATCTTTTGTAATTAAAAAATAATATACACAGAAATAAAGGATAACAATAACAAATACATTTGGCCTAGAGTTCCATTGGCTGGAAATTAATGTTGAGTACAAGTTTTTTTGTTTTTTTTTTTGTCTTTTTGAGACAGGGTCTCCTTGTAGCCCCAGCTGTCCTGGAACTCACTATGTAGACCAGGCTGGCCTCGAACTCACAAAGATCCACCTGCCTCTGCCTCCCAAGTGCTGGGATTAAAGGCGTGCGCCACCACGCCCAGCTGAGTACAAGTTTTTATTATCACGAGTAATTTTTTTGCAAAAATCAGCTACTGAATTCTTCCCATTTGGCTAGCACTGCCCTGGGCACTTTCACAGGAATTGGATTCTAATCCTCACCCCAGCCTTGTGAAGTAGGAATTGCTCCCCCCTGACAGAGGCCTGGTTAGGTAGATTATTGCTTCATAGCCTTCTACATGCCACAGAGATTCTTACTGGCTGGTAATTCACTGTTAAGAACTCTGACTGGCCAGGAGTTGTATTGGTTGCTCTTGTATTCAAATAATCAAAGTACTAGACTTCTTCCTCTTAAGTGTGACAGACAGAGTATGGGATAAGAGTGAAGGGAAGAGAAGAGCAGGTCTCTCCCTGTGAAGCACCCCTTGAGTTTGTTTTGGTCATCTGTCCACTTGTGAGGTGGGAGTGATAGGGAAGAGGGAACGTGGTCATAAGTCTTCTCGCTTCTGCAGGATGAGCTTCATCACCAGCTCTGTGATCCGGGGCTTGATCTCCTCCACTGAGATAGTTGGGTCCCAAGCCCCCATCACCTTTCCATCTGGGGCCACTAGGTACTTCCAGAAGTTCCAGGTGGGCTCCTTTCCAGAAGTTTCTAAGGAAAAAGGAAGTGGAAGAGCAAGTATTTCTCTCTGTACCCTCCTGGAATTTCACTATTGGTGGGATCTTGGCACCCAGTCCACACCCAGACCACTCAAATTAGAATCACTGAGGACTAGGCCCGGGCCTGAGCACTTCTCAAAAGCTCTCCGGAAGATTCCATTGTGGGATCCAGATTGGGAAAGACTGCTTTCTGAGAAGTAATTAACATAGCACCATCAAGCCCTCCTTTACTAATGGCCTCATCAGTTATACCATATTCTCTAAGACTGTTTTGTTTTGAGACAGGATTCCGTGTAACCCAGGCTACCTCAGTCTTGCTACGTAGCTGAGAATGACTTTGAACTCCTTCTCCTCCTAGGCTCTACCTCCTTGCATCACATTGCTTCGCTTCTAATTAAATCTTAATGGGTTCTAAAGGTTAGTCCATGTTAGTCCTGTATCGGAATTATTGTCAGGGAGGAGGGCCTTAAAGAAATTCTTGAGTCCTATTTGAGTAGGTCTCAGGTTTGTGCAATTTTAAGATCTTCCCAGATACTTTGCCTTTTTTAAAACTCTTTTTTTGGGGGGGGGCGGTGGTTTTTGTTTGTTTTTGAGACAGGGTCTCTGGGTAGCCCCAGCTGGCCTGGAACTTGCTATGAGACCAGGCCAGCTGGGAACTCACTATGTATATCAAGCTGGCTTGTTTCTGACAGAGATCACCAGCCTCTGACTCCCAAGTGAGTGCTGAGATCAAAGGCGTGAGCCACCATGCCAGGCTTCTCCCCAGGTACTTCTAAAGCAAGGCTCGCAAATTTGTTCTACAGCTATGAGAATTAGGGTAAAACTAATAAAAATACACATGAAAAATCAAACTTGAGGACTGTCCTGAAGGGAGAAATGCAATTCTGTCCTGGTAAGGGATCTTTAGTTTGCTATACAGTTGCTTCTCATTTACTCCTCCAGGTGAGTGGGTTGTGGGGCTGGGGTCCTGGTGAAAGACACAAAGGCAACCAGTGGCTTGGAGTGGATGAAGCCAAAATGGAGCCCTGAGAGGAGAAAGGTCTGAGGAGGAAATAGGATCACAATCATCATCTTGCCTAGGATTCTATTTGTGCCTCTGCAGAGTCTGGGGCTAGAGAGGGGAATCTACCCTTTTAGCATTTATGTGGTTGCTGCTGTTCTGGGTGGATGGCTATGCCAAGTCATTCTATTCTCAGAGCAAGGCCACTTTTGCCTTAAGTGAGCCGGGTTCAGGGCATCCAGTCCTGGCTGCAATCTATCTTAGGACATCCTGACCCCACTGTAAAGAATCCTACCCTGGGGGCCGGAGAGATGGCTCAGCGGTTCAGAACACTGGTTGTTCTTGCAGAAGACCAGGTTCGAATCCCAGCACCCACATGGCAGCTAACTCCAGTTCCAGGGGATCTGACAGCTTCTTCTGTCGTCAGCATTGCAGAACACAGGTGCACTTACCTACACACAGGCAATACATGCACACACATAATATAAAAATAATAAAGAGCGGGGCGTGGTGGCACATGCCTTTAATCCCAGCATTTGGGAGGCAGAGGCAGGTGGATCTCTGTGAGTCGAGGCCAGCCTGGTTTACATAGTGAGTTCCAGGCCAGCTGGGGCTACAGGGAGACCCTGTCTCAAAAGCCATATTTCATGCATTCCATCATATGTTAAGTCCTATGCAGTCAAGCATCTGTTTTTTTGTTTTTGTTTTGTTTTGTTTTTGAGACAGGGTCTCCCAGTATCCCCATCTGGCTTGGAACTCACTGTGTAAACCAGGCTCCTGGAACTCACAGAGATCCACCTGCCTCTGCCACCCAAATGCTAGGATTAAAGGCCTGTGCCACCACGCCAGGCTTAAAAAATATTTTTTATTTATTATTTTTATTTTATATCTGAGTGCATTGCCTGCATGTATGTAAAAGCACTGTGTTGTTCAGTGCCTGTGGAGGACAGAAGAAGGTGTCTGATTTCCTGGAACTGGGAGTTACGGACAGTTGTTAGTCCCCATGTAGGTGCTAGGAATCGAACCCAGGTCCTCTGCAAGAGCAGCCAGTGTTCTTGCCATCTCTCCAGCCTGTGTTTGCTTTTTTATTTTTTTAATATGCATTTGTATTTACTTATTTTGTGTGTGAGGGCTCATGTACATACATGTGGAGGTCAGACAACAATGTGCTAGAGTTGGTTCTCTCCTTCTACTATGTGGGTTCTGGAGATTGAACTCAAATCATCAGGCTTAGTGGCAAGCACCTTTACCTGATGAATCATCTCATCAGCCCCAGAAACCTACCTTTCAACTGAGGCTCAGGCCATCAAAAGTTTGACTCAAGTGACCCAAGCCTCCTCAAGAAGAGACAACCTATACTGTAAAACTTATTCCTCAACAAAATAATGAGATATCTGCCTTATTATCCAGATGAGCCCCACACAGATAGCACACAGAGCCCCACCTGATAAGGCTGAACGGTCTGAGCATAGTGACACTGAAACACTGCCTGACTGCCAGAACAGCCCCTCTCCCTGCCACAAATACATATATACAAAAAAAAAAAAGCAGCCTCTTAGAATCTTAGACGGCCTCTGTGCAGACAGGTTTTTTCCTATTGTTTTGCCTCCTGCAAAGATAACACAATATACCTAACAAACTACTACCTTCTTCTGCCCTCGGTGAATTCATTCACATCATTGGCCTGTCACTGATGCTTCAGGCATGGCAATAAAGAGCTGGTATTTTAAATAAAAGGTTTCTCTCTTTGGTCTATAGACTTTGCCTCTGCCTCAGAACAGAAGACTTTTAGCTATCTTGGTTAGCCTTATCCAGGCATGTCTGTATCTTGGTTTCTCCATCCTAAGCCCACAAGCTCAACTAATCCACACTGATGGAAGCACAATGACCAGTCTCCTTCCAGGAGTCCCCGTGGGTGAAGACAGGGAAGTCCTCAGGAAGGATGTAGGGAGACCTGTGAGGCAACAGGTGTGGAGATACTTTTGGGCAGTAATCTTCCTCCCTCATGGCTGCCATCACTCTCCTCCCAGGGTCAGGAAGGGAAAAGTAACCCTGCCAGCCCAGGGAGCCGTAGCCTCAGTCAGCTGAGGGTAGTTGAGGGGAAGAAGGGCTAGGACTCACGGGTCAGGTATTTGAAGGCAGGATGGGCACCAGTGCCAATGACTGCGACCTTGCTAAACATGGGGAAAGAGACACTGTAGGTGCGGCGGACAAAGCTCTCGATCTCCCTGTTGCTGTCTGGTTCCTGTTGGCCAAACTGGTTGCAGGGGAAGGCAAGCACATTGAAATGGTAGGGACCCAGGTCCCGCTGCAGCTGCTGTAAGGCTCGATAGTTCTGGTCTGTGAAGCCACATTCGCTAGCCACATTCACCACCAGGGATACCTACATGGCAAAAAGAAAGCAAACAGGATAGAGTTCAGATCCATAAACAACCCAGTGAAGAGGCATGTGTCTGTATGAGTTCTGATGTATCCACACAGGTACAGTCAATATCCCCTCATGCATCCAAATGCTGTGTACATGTTGTTCATAAACAGACACACAAAGGCACACATAACATCAAGCACGTAGGGGCTTATGCACATGTGTATATACGTACACAAATATCTGTGATTATAAGCACGCAATTCGCCTAAATGAATATGCACATACTCTGTGATGCAAACACATATTAGCAAGTAGCACACATATCCACAAAATACATAGAGCACATTCACAGGAAGGCGTACACACTGGGGAACATATACCAGCTGGTGATGCAGGGGAGGAGAGAGGCACACTTGGGTTCAATTTTTCTGTTCAGTCAGCTAGCATTATACTGTAGCTGCTTGTACATGGATAGATAGACTGGTTTTCTTGATAAAATGATCCCCAGGGTACTGTGTTCCCTCCCTTCCAGCTAACAAATACTTTGATCATTGAGCCCTAACTTTATTAAAGGCTTTAGGCAATAAACACAAAGCTAGCTGATGCAACTGAGTTATAATGCAATTAGAATTTTGGCACCAATGCTAGTTTCCAACATC